CGTGAGCCACTGCACCCTCATCTAATTTATAAAAAGAAGACGGGAAGATAAAGTCTATCACCAAAAATGTTTAGAAACACTAAGTCCTGGAAGTCAAATGCAGCTCTCTCTCCACCCCTTCTTCTCACACAGGGGTATCAGTTATACACAGGCTCTTTGACTGTAGTTTATCTCCATCAGAGTAGACTGAGCAGCCAGAGAGGAAGGATTTCTGAGGGCATACAGCAGATTGGCTTCTCTGGTTGCAGATGCTGGTTTAGTAAGAACATCCCCTTGCTTACCATTCCACACCTATGTGCATGTTTGAGTGTAAAAAAACCTGCCTAAGGCCAGGCAGGTTTTTGTGCAAAAGCATGTAATTATCATGTTTTTGGCCCACTCTTCCTGGGGCCACTCCCCTTTCTGGTTCAGCCAGGACCACCACTAAGGGACCTCCAGGGCCTGTCAGGATGAGCTGACCCCCTTCTCCTCACCTTTCTTCCCCAGCTGCAGTCTCACCTGATCCCTGGCCTGAACCTGGCCGCTGTGGGGCTTTTCCCAGCCTCATCCAGCGCAGTCCCACCACCCCCCAGCAGTGTCACCGGAGCGGCTCCCTATAGTTCCTTTATGGTAGGTGGAAGATCTTACTCAAGGGGTCCCCTGGGCCTGCAGTGGCCTCCCCTGAGAGGTCCAACTCCCCATGGGTTTCTGATGCTTGGGAAGTTTGCAGGGAAGGGGAGGGAAGTTCTCAGGGAAGGTCCTTCCTCTGTATTCCTCCGAGCTACTCTCTCAAGTGTCACTTGTGCAGAGCATGGCCTAAGATGCTGCAGGGTGCTGGCAGTTCTGTTCTTCTGTTCCTCTCTGTTGGGCATAGGAAGAAGCAAAGAGCCTCACAGCATCCCTTCACAGCCAGGTGGCAGTTGGGTGCCTGTACCCTTCTTCCCAGAGGTTGCAAGCTGAGGGAAAGGAGAGGCTCCTGAGCCCTGTCTCCTCAGGCCCCTTGGTAATAACATACCTTGTTCTGGCAGCAGGCGCCCGAGCAGGAGATGGTGCAAGTCTTCATTCCTGCCCAGGCTGTGGGCGCCATAATCGGCAAGAAGGGACAGCACATCAAACAGCTGTCCCGGTTCGCCAGCGCCTCCATCAAGGTGACCTCTTCTGTGGATTTGGGATGGGAGGGGGGTCCTCTTCTGCCCCCTTGTACATCTGCTCCCAGATTCCCATACTCTCGAGTATTGGCATCTCGTGTGAAGGACCTTTCCCTGCGGACTTGTGGTCCTCTTTGCTTTTGAC